CCGAATGGGTGGGCATTTCAACCAACTACTAAGTGGCCTGCAGCACTTACCAGATGTCTCACGTCACATTCGCCAAAAAACTTGAATCTTTGAAAAGATGTAATTGTTGGATAAAAGAGGAATCACACATGCGTCCGTCGTCCTCCCCACACCTCCACAGAACAGCCGCGGTGCCGCCCTCGCGCCGACCGTGCGTCCGTCGCACGCGGATTCGTTGGCGCCTGGCGGCGATTTCTTCCGCTCCTTCTCGACGACGTGTCGTGACGTGAACTTTGCAACTGGTCGGCTTTCTTCACTCCTCTAAAGTTCACTCTGATCTTCACTTTTTGCTAGCTTTGTTTTCTGAGTTAATCCTTCGTGAGTGATATTCCTGGCAACACGAATAATCTGAATTTTTTGATTGCATCATCATCTGCGTATTCCTGTCTATAAGCATTCTTTTGTTCTGTTTTAGAAATGTCTGGAAAGACACGTTCATTGATGTGCCTGAACTGTCAGAGTCCAATGAGAGTCGACGTCAAAACGAAACCCGACAAGGAAAAGAAGGTAATTTCATAGTTTCGAGCATTGGCCTTTGTGCGGAACCACGCACACCGACTTTCGTAAGTGAATTCTGGAACCGTTTTCACTAATTTTCATTTGGCTAAGTACCTTAGAAGCTAACCCACTGTGCTCCATTTAACATATAAGCATTTTCCACAATATTGATTGATTTTTTCGTTGTGACTGCAGTTGGCGTTTTAGTACAAGGTTTTTTTTTTGTTTTTTGCTTAAAGAGCTTTAATTTTTGCTTAGGCTTTCTTAACTGAGTAAAAGGAAATCAATTCAACTGCTGTTTCAACCACAAGAAACCATTTGATATCTTTTTTGTTCTTTGAATTGCCATTGAATGACTTAAATTCCATAGTGATGCTGAGATATTCGCAAAACTTGGACCTCGAGCCAGATCGAACCACGATTACGCTTCCCGTTCCGGGGGACTTCAGCATTACACACTGCGCCAGGGAGGCCCTTACTCTGCGTTTTTCTCAGCCAGTTTTTACCTAGTACAGCCACCAGCAATCACTCGTTAGCGGGATTGCTCTGGAGAGCACAAATCGGTATTGAACCCAGTTAAGCCGAGGCTGTAGTCGAAATCACAGTGTTAACCATTTATTTTCTGCCTGCTTTTGACTTCATTTCTATTTATACGAAGATATCGTGAATTATTAGCAGTAAAAATGCAAGAAGGACCTAAGCACAATGAAGCTGAGATATTCGCAAAACTTAAAAAAACCGGATCGAACCACGATTATTACCCTTGCCTTTTCAGGGACTCGCGCATTGCACACTACACCACTAAGGTCTTTGTTTTGCCTTTCTCTCAGCTACCTTTCTAAAAAAAAAAACCTAACGTGGGAAATGCAAACGTGCTTTTTACATGGTTTGTGCTTTGCTGCTAAAAATTTTATAACATTGTCCAACTAACTGCATAACTCTTATGACAAGACTTTGAAATAGTGTTTATTATTTGATGAATTTCTTTTCAATATCTACGACCGCTACAGCCTTTAGAGGTGGCAAACACTGCAAATCTGGCCGGCCAGTCCTGCAATCTGATGGAGCTGATCTGCGCTGCCGAAGTGCCATCCAGTGCGCCTATATGTAAGGTGAGCTCCTTTACCTAATACTTCTTTCGTTGATAAAAAAGAATGAAAAGCTCTCGGCGGGGATCAAACCCTTAGGGATGCACCATGTATTTGACTTTATTAAGCATCGTTGGAAGTGGTTGAATGCATATCTGGGTTGTATCGAGCCAGTGCTGCTGTCCTTCTGGACAGGTATGGTGCCAATTTCCCAACCTCGGAGGGGTGGAAGGTTTGGTGGGCCAGGGGCGCGGGAGTCGATTCCATACGTATCGCAGGGCGCCTCCGACCACTACGTCACATCGCCCAGTATCATTTTCGTTGATATCATAATATATAATGTACGTATTCTGGCATTTTTTGTTTTTCTTATATTCTCCTCATAAGACCAGAATTTTGGCTTCTTGTTCTGGGCTGTCTCACCTAGGACCTTAAACTTACAGCTCTCTAAAAGTTTCCTTGCGTTGTAGCAAGCAGTTCACTTTGGAAAACTCTCGGAAATATGGGAGCCTGTAGTCTCCACGAGCCTATAATTATTTCATATGACGGAAGGACGACGTGGCTATCGAAGAGATCTGAGCAGTATTCGTGAATAGTTTTCTTCATTTCCTTTCTGGACATTGTAACTGCTATAGTGTCGCAAGGACGAAAGTCCTCAAAGATTTGATATCCGTATTAACGCTAAGGTATTGTGTGTCTATAACCAGTAGGTAATAAATGAATAGGCTCTTTCAGAAAGTCCGTAACTATCCGGTCCATAGCTCTATAGCTATTTTAGGGATTGTGGGAGTCTTATTCACCTTAGATATTTTCTCAGGGATAGAATTTTGTTGCACCTGAGAAAATAAGGGTTACTAACGTATGGTAGTTTAACATCATTTTCTTCGCATTTTTGTTGAGCAAACGCGAGGTGTTACTATTCTTTGTTCACGATTAAGCTGACGCTTCGGCGGATTTCGCCTTCTTCAGAGCCTGGAAAGGTCAAGTTGATAGCAATCCGCTCGGCCAGACGCCTCCATAACCAAACAAAGAAACTCCAAACCAAGATTTCAATCACTTTGAACACAGCTCTGCACACTCACCGCTCTTTATGAGGTTTCCACTAAGTATGTCACGTAGAGACCAACCGCACAGAAATCACGTGGAAGCATAATGTGCCCCTCACATCAGAAAAGCAGTTTTATATACTGCCCTATATCACGCGTGATAATGAGGCATTCTTCCCTGCGGTTCATTTTCGGATTGAAGTAAATACCGAAAACTAAACCACGAATGGGCCAAAATGGCAAGGGCTGCTGGTTTGAAACCATCAGTTATCTCTCAACTTAAAGTTGCCTTTCCAATATGCCCGTCTTGTACTTACTTATAAAAACTCATAAGTTAGTATCCAGCGATGATCTTGCGTCTAACGATCCATCACTATTTAAGGTTAGACCTATCATTAGCTGCGTAGACGGGCCAACGGACAGGATAACATGGTTTTTAACCCTAATATTTAACCAGTTGTTGAAACACATTCCAGCCCATCTTACGAATATCCAGATGTTTCTGGATCGTCTACGTACTGCGCAGCCCAACAGCGCGTGCGTGATGGAGTTCTACGTTACCGCCCTTTATACAAACGTGTCGAATGACTCCGCAATGCAAGCCATATTCGAACTCCTTACACAACACGAAGGA